TAATGTTTTTGAAATGTCTCTCGTGAAAATCAGTTGAAACTAGAGTGCAACATTCACTTTATGGCTATGTTCGTTTGTTTTATGAGCCGTACGGTTTCAGTGAAGGAACAATGTTTTTCTCTCGTAATAAATTAGTGAATGGTACTTTTCAGCTATGTCTTTTCAGCGAAGGGAACAGGGCCTATGCCATAAAAAGTAGTAGTAAATTTAGTAATTGGTGTCCACTTTATGCCATAAAAGAAGTTATACTTAGCTTTACTAGTAAATTCACTCTGAAGCTACCACTGAATCATGTGCATATATTGTGAGCTACTACGTACACCTTAGCCTACGCGCCTGAAGTTTGGTACCCTCTAGATGCACGAGACAACCTGGTAAACGAGGCCCACAGGTCAGTGACAGGGTGCCAATCCGCGTGTACCAGTGCGCTGGACCAGTGCCAGTACTAGACTTCGTCATCGTCTCCCCTCCTTTGCCAATTTGCCCGCGCACGCTTTCCGTTCCCGCCATCGTTTCCCTCCACTGCTCACCCTCCTTTCCCCGCCCGCCTCCTTAAAATCTCCTACTCGTCCCCCGCCAATCACCCCACGCAATCCACACATCTCAGCTGCTCGCCTCGCCTGCGCCGCCGCCATCCTTCGCCCAACCGCCTGCCATGGACCGCCGCCTCCGAGCCTTACCGCGCGCCTCCGAACGCCACCAGCAGCAGCAGCACCAGCGGTTCCTCCGCCCCGGCGCGCTCGCGCGGCTCCGGGACTCGAGGATCGTGGCCCGGTCCGTCCGGTCGTCGGCGTGCCTCCTGCTCCCGCGGTCCGCCCCTCCGTCCCCCGCGCGGCCAGTCCTCGCCGCGGACGAGCAGCCCGCCGCGCCGCGTTTCCTGGGGACGACGAGCGGCTCGGGGCGGTACCCGCTCCGCAGGAGGGTCGCCGCCGCCAGGGGCGTGTCGTTCTTGCCTCCGCCGTCGCTGTAGCCTGACACGGAGAAGTTGTTGTCGGGGGCGCTCGCGCCGGCGCCGGATCTCGTCTCCTGGCGCCGCGACTAGTTGAGAAGTTGTGTCTAGACGTCTAGATTTGTGTTTAGTTCAGTATCACCTGCGCAGATGCTTTGCAGTTTCTTGGTTTACTTAAAAATTTTGGATTTGAGGAGGAATAATCACTCCGGAATTTTGTTCCTGATTCAACTGAGTAGTCTTCAGACTCTTCACCTCGCTTGCAAGCTGCAATGCGGATGCAATTGCCACACGACTATGTATGTGAGACGAGATGCCTTGTCCCTTTCGGTTTTGCACTTCCATCAGTGAGGGTTTCATAGGAAAAGGCAATAGGAGGATAGATTTGGACGTTTTTCAAGATTAGATGGTAGCGCTGCTTTGAAGCAGAACTGGATCCACAGGCACAACATGAACTTGTGGCTTGTCTTCTCTTCTGAGATCAGGAGGCTTGTGTGTGCATGATCTGATTGGGAACAAAATCTGAACGGTAATGCTATCATAAAGCATGCTTCGCTCGCCTAAAAAAACAAATAAACTCCCGCACTCCTCACTCCGCTCCCGTTCTTACCCCTTTCGCGCTCCTCATCCCCGGCCACAACACACCAACCCCCGGCGTAACGCCCGCAGATCCGGTGGCCCTCTTCTCTACCCCGACGAGATCCATGGAGTAGGAGCGAGATCTGCTCACGTCTGCAAGATCCATGGAGGTGGCGCATCAGTGTTACAGGAGTTGGCGGCTCTCCTCCACCCTGGTGCCCGATGCCCTCTATCACACCGGCGACCAAGCTCCCCTCGCCCACGCGGCCCTAGCGCTCCTCGCCCCCCATCCCTCACCATCGCCGCCGAGCCAAGTCCGGTACTGGTGGTGTTGGTGGCGATGGTGCTTGTGCGCCGCCGCTCACCACCGGCTCTGATCTGACGGCTGGAATCGACCGGCCTAGGCTTCCCCTCCCTAATGTTGCAAATGTGTGTTTCAGTCGTTTTAAATATATGTTGCAGTTGTTTCTTACGGATGTTGCAGAAGTGGATCGGGGATGTTGCACATGTAGCATATGTTGCAAGTGTTTCAGAAGCATGTTGCAGTAGTTTGTTCAAAATATTTCACTGTTTCTAGATGTATGTTGCAATCGTTTTTTATCTAGATGTTGCATATATTTTCACACATATGATTTCACACTATGTTCCAATGTTTCAGCTGTTTCAGTCTTATGTTGTAATAAGTGTTTTTTCATGTTGCACTAGTTTTATCTGGATGTTGCATATGTTCCACACACATGTTGCAAGCGCATGTCCCAGATGTTTCATCTGTTTCAAATGTATGTTGCATTCTAGTGTTTCAAGTTGCAAGTGCAGACCGCCGAAGTTGGTATCCATGAGGGCAAGCAGGGCCAAGCCGCGGCCACCGACGCGTGGAGGAGGTGCTGGGCGACAGTGGCGGTGTGGGGAGGAGGCACAGGCCGCGCGGTTCTGTTGCGGAAGAGGTTGGGCGAGTCTTCCGGACAATCTAGAAGAGACGAGCGCTACGTCGGTGTGGAAGAGGTGGGGGCGAATCAACTGATCAGTGAAGACAGCGGATCCAAAGCAGGCGGTTTGAATGCGAGCGCGGGGAATGGAGTTGGCGCGGGCGGCGCGCGAAATCCGAGCGGACGGGGTGGAGCAGCCGTGGGCATCTGGACGTTCGGGAAGCTAGTGCTGCCAAAATCCAAAGCCGCATTTTACAGGCATGCCTCCTGCTTCCGCGATTGGGCCCACTTTTTTATATCAAAATAATTAATGAAAAAAAGGTTGTGCTGAAATCACAAAATGATAAAATTTATGTTTCGGTAAAAAAAAGGTCAAGCTGTTCGACCGATGGTTTTTGCGACTGATAAGCCGGCTGATGTTGTTTTGTTTTGAGAGAAAAATATTATACCATGACTGATAAATTAAGCTGATAAGTTCAAGCGAACAGGTTGACCTATATAATTTTCTGCACCGCTTTCATCCATATATTTCTGCAATTGTGCTGATCCCGTTCGAACGCACGTGAGGCACTGACCAGACACGATGCTCCTCAATCCTAGAGTCCTTAGTACACGGTGACTGATCGAGATACGGAAATCGTAGTGCAGCACGGGGTCACCCACCCCATTCGAACGTTGGAACGGAGTTCGATTTCGCGTCTCAATTCTCAAACATGGAAAACCTGCCGTAACGAAATTCTCAATCAATCAATCGACAATCACGAAATCTGTCCGATATGGGGCCCTCGGTTTCCTTGCATGCATCTCTTCTGCTCCCTTATATACCCACTTCCCGACGTGGCACGTCCAGACTCCTCTCTCTCTCGTCCTCGCGCGCGCTAGCCAGCTCTCGCCATTCCGCGATCATCCCGCGAGAGGGCGACGAGATGCAGGTGGTGGCGGCGTCGGCGGCGTCGATGGCTTCGGAGGCGGAGATGGCCGGCGGCGGGGAGCGCAAGAGGAAGAAGACGCTGGGGCGTCGGAAGATCGAGATCAAGCCCATCAAGTGCATGGAAGCGAGGCACGTGTGCTTCTCCAAGCGCCGCGAGGGCCTCAACAAGAAGGCCAGCGAGCTCTGCGCGCTCACAGGCGCCAAGGTCGCGGTCATCGTGTACTCCCCCGCGGGGAAGCCCTACTCGTTCGGTCACCCCTCCGTGAGCGCCGTTGTCGATCGGTACCTCGACCTCGACCCCGTCTCCTCCGCCGCCGCCAACGACGCGTTCGAGGCGCCGCCGCCGCCGATGATGTACGAGTTCGACGGCCAGCGCGACCGGCTGTGCGAGGCCATCGCGGCGGAGGCGCGGCGGAAGGACGCGCTCGACGCGGCGGCGCGCGCGGCGGGCGTGTGGACCGACGACGTCGTGCGCCAAGCCGAGATGCCCGACCTCGTCGCCATGCTCGCCGCGCTCGAGCGGGTCAAGGACGACGCCGACCATGCGATGAGGCAGCATCAGTGCGCCGCGGCGGCGGCGGCTGGCGCCTGCGATGCCTGCTACTACGACCTCGGCGACGGCACGTTCGCGGCTGATGATTATGGTGGCGCCAGCAGCAGCAGCCATCATCAGCAGGCGGCCGTGGACGCGCAGACGATGGCTTTTCTGATGGGCGGCAACGTCGTCAGCCATGCCGCCGCCCACGCTCCGATGCTGCTGCCTCCTCCTGATCTCCCACAGCCGCCGGCGCCTGTGTCACTGGCTTTCAACTACGGCTCTGACCACAACCATATCACAGGCTATGAAGGCTATGCCTACGACCTTGGAGATGGCGGCGGCCATGGCGGCGCCGCTTATGAAACGGGAGGGTGTTACTTCGGGCCAACGGCAACGTGCAACTTCTTTGGGTAGCTTTGCGTCAGTTTAATTACTAGTACTATTACTACGGGTTCACTTAATGGTGAATAATAACGCCGTTGTGCCTTAGGTCTACATGATGAATGAATTTAAGTTGGGGGTAGTTAAATTCAATTTGTATATACATATATTACAATAATGAACGAGAAGCATATCTTGTTTCAGATAATAATGGACTTAAGAGCATGCTTAGATTGAGGAGTTATGACGAATTATCTTGATTGTTGATTAGTACAAAGTTTGAAACGACCAAACCCAAATTTGAAATGCCTAGCCTTGCATATTTTGGAAACCTAAATTTGAAACGACGAAGACAAATGCCATTGTGATCTGCATGCCGCCGCCACGGCCTTCCCCTCCCATCCCGGCGTGGGCGGCGGCCAACTCCCTCTTCCGCCGCCACCGCCGCTTGCGGCCACTCCTGTTCCCCGCTGCCTCTCTCCGCGACCATCTCCCCGTTCTGTCCCACTGCCTCGTCTCCGGCCTCGCCCGCAACCCCTTCGTGGCCTCGCGCCTTCTCCTCGCATCCTCCAGCCTCTCCCTCCCTTCTCCCTCGCCCTCCTCGCCTATCTCCCGCCCTCCTCGCTCTCTCCGTTCTCCTTCAACTCGCTCATCCGCGCCTCCCCGCCGCGGCTCGCGCTCCGCCTGTTTGACCAAATGCGCAGCCGAGGCGTCCCCACGGACCCCTACACCTTGCCGTTCTTGATCAGCGCCTGTTCCAGCAGCGGCCCTACACTGTGCCAGTCTCTGCACGGGCAGGGCTTCCGTCTCGGCTACATCTGGCACCTCTTCACCCAGACGGCGCTGATGAACGTGTACCTCGCGTGTGGGTCGGTGGTCACCGCTCGCAGGGTGTTCGAGGAAATGCCGGTGAAGGATGTGGTTGCGTGGACCAGCATGGTGTCCGGCTATGTAGACTCCAGGATGTACTTGAAAGCCGTTGAGGTGTTTAACGAGATGAGAGGTGCTGATGATCTTGTGTGGCCTAATGAGGCCACGGTGGTGTCGCTTGCTTCTGCCTGTGCCAGTCTGGGGTCGCTGGAGAATGCAAAGGGTCTCCATTCGTACGTGGAGAAGACTGGCTTGGAGGGTGAGTTAATTGTCAGGAATGCATTGGTTGACATGTATGGGAAGTGTGGCAGCATTGAGTCTGCACGAAGATTGTTTTGTTTGATGCGTGAGAAGGACTTGCGTTCATGGACAGCAATGATTTCAGGGCTGTCTTCTAATGGACATGGTGAAGAAGCGGTTGATTTGTTCTTCCGCATGCGGGAGGAGGGAGTATTACCAGATTCAACTACTTTCATTGCGGTTCTGTCTGCCTGTAGCCATGCTGGACTGGTAGACGAGGGGATACATATCTTCAATTCCATGGAGAGTGAGCACAATGTCCCCCGGGACATCAAGCACTATGGTTGCATGGTGGATCTTTTCAGCAGAGCAGGGCTTGTTCGCCATGCTTATGAATTCATTGGAATGATGCCTTTCGAACCAAACTTGGAGATTCTTGGGGCTCTGCTGAGTGCATGCAGTATCAATAATGAACTGGAGACCGGGGAGCTCGTGCTCAATAAGATTGAGTCACTCTGCTCCTACAAAGGAGGTTCTGGTGTGCTCCTGTCAAATATATATGCTAACCAAAATCTGTGGCATGAAGTGGATACCCTTAGAAGGAAGATTAGGACTGAAGCAATTGTCAGGAAGCCACCTGGCCAGAGTTCGATTGCAGCAGAAGTTCCTTGCATGAGTTTCTGATTAGTAATTGCACAACACTTTTAATGAAACTGCTGGTTCTAATTTTGCAAAGGTTAGGAAACTTCTAAAAAAAAATTTATCCTATATTTGTACAATTGAACATTACTCTTCTATATACTAGATGATGATTACTCAATATGTTGATTCCTGATGACAGGAGGCTTGGGGTGTTTGCTTTCTATAATTCTGTAGGCCAATCGAAATGGAAGGTGTTACAAGGAGGGTGATCCCTTCGGACAACGGCTGCCATGTAAATGCTGTGGGGATAAGTTTTTGTCATACTGTACTATTTTATGATTTTAGCAAATGGAGAGGTTGCCTATTGTGCGTTGTAACACCTCTGTTTTGATACAGATATATGATGGAACAAAACATCAACACCGGAAAAAGGCTTTTGAGCATGCTAGATCATGAGTTTTCTTGTGCCTGAAAAAGGGTAGACAAATCAATTGATACTTTATCCCTGTATGATTTCTACTGTCTAATAAAGCGAGTTGTACCAAATGGTTTGACAATAGTATACAAATATATCAATCTAGATGAAGAGCTGGATGTTAATTAAGTCCATATTTAAAAATCTTCTTCCAGGGCTGTTCTGAAGTCTATGAGTTGACTATTGAATCGAACTTGATGAAATTGATTGGATTCAAGGGTATGTCAATCTGTTTGAGTTTTACTTCCTTATTTGGTTAACTGAACAAATTTAATGGTAAAAGTTTGTGAAAGATATGATGGTCCACCCACCGTGTTATTGACTTCAAACCAGAACCGTAACATTTGAGAGCCTTAGTAGAGAAATCAACTGTCTATTCGTGCCTCATGGTGCTGCCTCTTCTACTCTTTTAGCTACGAAATATTGTGAATGTAGTGCAAGTGTGCACGTGCTATGGCCATTTTTCTACTATATGGACTTTCATATTGTTGATTTGCTATTTATTTCTTCCCTATCTGCTTGAAGGTTGTAGCAGCATCAGTTGCTTGTGATCCTGAAAAGTTCAGTGTATCATTTCTTTGCAAACCAAATGAAGCCTGCTGTGCTTGGATTTTGGATCGTGAAAAATGGGAAGGTGAGTTTCAGTAGTTTTAATTTGCGGTCATAGCATTATGTTGAAACACAGTTGCCAAAATGCTACCAAATTTGTGACATTGTCAAAATAGCATCGGCTATGCCACAATATGTCCTTTTGTCAATGTATGAACTTTGGATGGCATTGTGGCAATCAGGCCGGCAACAAAACGTCATGGTGGCAATTTTCCCGTGGACTTGGACTTTCTCCTTAAATCTTGCATTGTATCTGGTCATATGGGACTATTTGCGCAATGTTCCAATGTATTCAACAGACTACTTGTTCCATAAGAAATGACATATTGTGATATTTTCCCGTGAACTTTGGATGGCATTGTGGCAATCAGGGGGCCGGCAACAAAACGCCATGGTGACAATGAACAGTATTTTTCTCTCATAACAAATCAGCTAACAGTACTTTCAGCCATGGCTTATCAGCCAAGCGAACAGGGCACTTGCACCTGATATCATAAAATATCTGGGACTTTATAGCTCATGATTCTTCATTAGCCGTCTCCACCATAAATGTATGAGCCTCCATTAGAAGCCTACAACTTAGTTTCAGAGGATGCCTTTTGTTCAGCTGTGGCTCCTGATATTGAACAGGATGGAACTTGAAAAGAAATCTACCCTTTCATTCAACTAAGATATCTAACCTGAGTATTTGATGCGTATTGTGACATGCTTCTTGTTTTAAGATGTCAAGATGCTCATAGTTGAACTAGTCTGTTAGAAAATGAACGTTACTCAGATTCAACTAATGAAAATACTCTTCTGCAAGATTAGCTGATGAGTATATTGATTCCTTGATCTAGATATTGATCTACAAATGAGCACTACGTTCTTAACATAGCAACATCGCCTGATAGACTTGTCTGTACTCTGTATAGGTAATAATTATTGTGTTACTCAAGGAGGAGCTCCAAAGCTGGATTAGGCTTACTATCGATTCTTGATGAGAATGAAGTAGGGTTAGTGATCGAGCCTGATGAACTTGAGATGCTATTGAAATAGTGTTGCCTTAAACAGGTATTATATGCTGCCGTTCTTATTCTGTTTGCTCTTGTGCTTGTGTTGTCTAGCCCCTCACAAATATTTTAGGTTTTGCGATTTGTATTTCATTAAGATTAAGAGTTCCTTTTAGTTGTGCGTGATCACTGAAGAATTACCCACATGCTGCTGCGGTGAGCTAACATATATTTCATATTCCAAATGCAGCTCCGAAGAATCTGGTTCCAGGCTTATTGCTTCCGGGACCAAGTGTCAGCACTTGTGACAGAATAGCAGATCTTATTTTGTCAGATCCGGTGAGAAAATATCATATCTTTCTATCTTTTTTTTCCTTTCTCCTGATAACGCGGTATATTCCTTGCTTTATGTATTGTGGCGCATACCATGCACATTTTGGCATCTCTGAAACCTTGAAATTTCTGTGGCTTTGACTCTTGGGTTGTGGGTTGTAGAAATAGCGAGCAATAATATATGGTGCCTGGATAAAGCACGAGAATATCAACTAACCACTTTCTGCTTGCTTTATAAGACAGGGGGGGATATTGGTTCTCTGGGAAGCAGCTCTTCCAGGTTGGACAGAATACCTGCGTGGCTGCGTCCATGCTAACACGAGTACAACAAATTCAATCTGGGACGCACCAACAGTATTCACTTCCAGCGCAATATGCCGCCATGTACCTGCCATGTTTCCTGTTCTGAGTTCTGGCTAGGAGGACTGAGGCCTGGTGGAAAGGAGCCAGGGGAACCAAAGGTTTGCCTAGTAGCCAAGCCCAGCAGCGGCACCGGTCGCTTTGCGTGTGGGATCGGATTCGGCCGCCGAGGAAAGGGACTTTGGACTCGCCATCGGGGCTGATCGCTGTAGGCCCGCAGCTCTTGGCGTTCACAAAGGGCCTTTGTTTTTTCCGCTCCCGTAGGGAGGCACGTCTCATTGCTTGCTCGTAGAAGTGTCTTTCTTCGACATCTATTTTTAATAACATAATATAATAAAGATATATCTGTCACCAGGTTTTATATCGAAGGAGTGTGTGCCGTAATAATAATAATAAAATCCGAACTGTTCATTTCGTATCAATAGTCAATAGAAAAAAAAAACACCAGTTTAGGATCCAGGAATGGGCATGCCTACTCGTCGTACTCGTAGCGCTCGCCTGCCACATCGAGGCAGGCACTAGGGCAGTAGGGCGGCTGCCAGAGGGAGATCCTCTGCTTGCCGCAGGCCCCCGACCGCCCCAAGCAGATCCGGGCCCCCTGCCCTGCCACTTCCGTCTGATTCCTCGGCTCGCCGCTGGCCTACCGCCTCCCCCTTCCTCTCCGCGCCCCTTTCCTCCGCTGCCCTCCCTCCCTCCCTCCCTCGATTCAGAGCTCCGCGAATTCGGACAGAGCGGAGCGCGGCGCGGCGTGTCCGTGTCGACCCCCCCTGCGACGAGGCTCCTGCCGCTTCCCGGTACGTGCGTGCGTCCGTGCTCTGCATTCGCTGCTGCTCCGATGTCTGCGTGCGTGCGTGATTCCGCCGCCTGCTTCGCGCGCGGTGGCCGTGTCGTCGTCGCCTGCGGCTTGCGAGCGCGGGAATCCGTTGCCCTCTCGGTCGGCAGGGCCGGCCGCCTTGGGCCGCGTTGTTCGATTGATTTCGTCCCGCAAAAGCAGGAAGGCGCGGTGGGTGGAGCGGTGGAGCCGTGGGGGTGGTTGGCTGGCGCCTTCTTTTGCCCATTCCTCGGAGAATCCCGCCCGGCCGGTAGGCGGTAGCTTCCCGTAGCCTTTTCCCTTCCATTCCACGCAACTTGCTGCGTGCGCCGTTCTGGATGGAACCTCTGCCTTCCTGCTACGGTTCTACCTGCCGTGCCGTGCGTTCGTGGGATTGGAACATACGGACGAGGCAGGCACAGGCAGGGCAGTCTTGCACTCTTGCTGCCGCTATTATTATAGCGAGTGGATTATACTAGGCCGCAATAGCTTCAATCGGCGAGGCGATTGGTTCTTTCAGCATAATATAATTCCCTTCTCATTTGGAATTGGCGCTTGTTTGGGATGATTCTGTCTGTAGGCCGGGCGAAATGGAAGGTGTCGTTGTCAGGAGGGTCATCCCTTCGGATAACAGTTGCCTCTTCAATGCTGTTGGGTAAGTGAAGTCTGTCATGGCACTGCTTCTACTGCACCGCTGATGGTCTAGCAAATGGAGCGGTCGCTTATTATTACTGTTTGCAACACCTGTGGTTTGGTACAGCTACGTGATGGAACACAACCGGAATAAAGCTTCTGAGCTCAGACAGGTAACTGCTCGACCAACTGTTTGCTGCCTGCGGTGGCCCTCAGTTAATCCTGCCTCTTTGGCTTTGGTATTTGTCAAAATGGTATTGTGCTTGCATCGGAGCTTGCATGGTTGCCTGAAAACCGGCAGAGGCAAATCTTTTGCTCGAGATTTATTACTGTCGTGATTTCCACCGTCTACTAAAAAGAGTTATGGGATCATGCATAATAAGTGCATTAAAAATTAGTATGCCTTGCTGCATGGGACGATTTGACAATGGTGTGAAAATATGTCATATAGATAGATTAGCAGAGTTGCTGGATGGGGCACCCACAATGTACCATAAAAGTGGTCTTTATGCAATAAATGCATCTGTAAAGCCCGCCCATATACATTGGGAAGCCGGTCTGTATAGCATTGTAACTGAAATCCATTGAAGCTGTTTTGAGGTTTGCTCTAATACCATCTGCTGATTATGTAATTGATGACAGCTGTTAGATCCAATAGCATCTTGGCCAGTCGAGTGTTGCTTCATTATATTATTGGGTGAACTGTACCAATTCCATTGTCTTAAAAAAATGTTTATGCAAGATGTGATGTTTCATCCACTGCCACTCTGCTTCTCACACTTCAAACAAGAATAATTTCAATAGACCACCTTAGTTGAGCTATGATAAA